AGAAATATTCTTGCCAAATACAAGGATTATGATGACTTGTCTGGTGAAAACACAAAATGATGTAGGCAACAACTTTCGAATAATTTAATACGAAACGAAAGCATAAAATATATGAAAAACAAACAAGAAACCTAAGGAATGTGATAGAACGATTCCAAATGTTATTCACGGTAAACCACTCACATACATGAGTGGCGATATCATAACATACAGATATAGCAATCAAACGAACAGTGCAGAAATTCGGATCTAATAAGATATTAAAAGAAGTATAAAGGCTAGAATAAAAAGCCAAAATAACCATCCACAAACATTTGCAAATGTTTGTGGATAAGATTTTAAAAAATTAATAAGCAATCTTTCAACAAACCTTGAAAGGTATGCCAGCATCGATATCGGCTGCCAGATTTTGAGCAGCAACTGCGTCTGTCATCCGAAGGATGAACTGTTGTTCTAAATCATAGTTAGTATCTAAAGGCAGTTTTGCATTCATCCTTGGGATGTAGCCGATATATTATACAGCGCTCTCTACATTCAATATCCAATACCTGTAGCGCGAGCGTGTTACGGTGCATAACAGTAAATGAACCTCAAAAATAAATATTTCAGTGAGTCTTCAGCATAATGGCTCGTTTCAGTAGTTTTATTGGACACACCCTGGCTGAAAACACTTGGTCAAGTGTGCAGACCTGACGACCACTTTTTACGCAATGTTACTTAATCATTGGGACTACTAGCCAGCTTATGTAAGACACTTCTCAGCATTTCGCCAAACTTCCACATGCATTTTTGAACTCATTCCTCCCTGATTTATGGTTTGGTTGGTTGGTATCCTACGATTTTATACGCGTTACAAATAAAGGCGTTATCAAAGCCCAAATGTCTAGAACATCTTTACAAGCTACTTTGTTTACAGGCCTTAAGATCTGAGTAAAATTCAACAAAACACAAATGCAAATCGTTATTCTGGAAAAACCGCGGTGTAAATTCTAGCAAATCAAATATCTGTTAATAACATGCCGGTTTCTTGATATTAAAATGAAGTCACCGTGCGTCGTCTCTGATTTCTCTCATTTCATAAGCAGATCCTTTTAAAACCACGATTTCTTCATGGAACTTCGAACACTATGTAGTTTGTTAACTGTCCTCACCGGATGGGTTTGTTTTTAACGTAATTCTCGTGGCTTTAAATGTACTCTCTGAGATTTCTTACTGAAAGTCTGCCTCACTCCTGATTGTACCCGAGCAATATTATGATATCTCAGCATATTCCGTCTAAGCTTTAAGACCACGTATGATACTGATTGGTGATCTTTTAGCTTAGGGACGAGGAATCCGGTAAGCCAGGTGTTTTTGCGCGCATATTGACGCTGATTTTTTGTGTTTTTATTTATCAACTATTAACAGCCTTATTTCCGTCACACGTCAATTTTCGTAATGTTTGTGCTTGGTTCATAGCTTTTACTCAAGTTTATTGGTAGTTTGACGTATTTATTGCTCACAACCTGAGTGAATGTTTGGTCAGTCTAATGTGGTTATTTGTAACAATACCAACTCAAGCATGTAAAACTCACCATCTTTCAAGTAAAAAAAATTGATTACAAATTGAGTTTTCCGGACAATATGCTTTAAAACTTTTAACATCTGGTTCACCTTGATTATGGTGATGATGAACATGGATGTTGGTAGTTGTTTGTAAAATGTAGGTAGAAGCAATTAAGCGTTAATCTATTTATGAATATTATATAACTCGCTAATTCTTAGCCATAAAAAGCTATATCCACTATAAGTGACATCGTTTTGTACTGAACGGACATATTATTATGTAACGCATCTGAGAAGAATTATGTGAGTAACAACTGACGTTGATAGTCTTTTCCATCTGCTTTCTGAACGTATAGAGGAAAAGTGTATAGCACCACTGGAGGTGCCACATAGAGTAGTCACAAAGTCTTCATAAGTAAAACGATGTGTGTTTCTTTTGAGCATGGTGACAAAACCATGTTGTAGTTAATACTGATTTATGATGTGTCTGTTATACGGTTTACGAATATGTTTCTGTAAACAGAATCCGCAATCACTGACCAAATTATGAACAAAGTTATAATGCATATTGTCGAGTTATATCTAAATAGTGCTTACCAATTTTTTTGTTGATATCAAATGTCTAGGTGAAATAGTAGAATGGTTAGAAAATGAAGAGCGCTGTTTACATGAAATAAGAAACTTATAGGTTATTTGTAGCATGCTAGTGAAGTCAAAAATAGACTGAAATCAGAGTTTTACGCAGAAGTGAGCTGTAAAACCAATAACATTTCATTCACTTTCGTAATGATGGTAGTATCGAACTTGGATGTTCATAGCTGCCTGTAAAATATAGGTTGAAGCAAGGAACTGTGTATAACATTACTATAAGTGCCACATTAATGAGTCACATTTTCTTCATAAGTGGAACAAAGCGTGTATGTTATGAGCATAGTAACTAAAGCAAGTTGTAATTAACATTAATTTATGATGTGTCTGTTATAAAGATTACTAATTAATTTCTATTAATGAAATCCGAAATCTCTAATGAATAGCACTACTTACAAGAGACTTATAGGTACATTCTGTTACCTGCTGTTTGATTGACTTATTGAATTTGATGCCGATAACAAAGTCTAATGGTTTGTCTCAAGAGCGATTTGTTGTTTTTCGGAATTGCATGAAGCTTATGGAAGATCATGTCGAAAACCAGTTTACAAGTTTACGATATCTGTGTTTAATATTGCCTACTGCCATGTTCATTCATCTAATGAATTATGTAAATATAATCCACAGCGGCCTGCTTGAGCATCTGGGCTACCTGTCCCTGCCATCTGGATGTTTCAACAAGTGATCTGTTTTTGTTTGTTTTAATATATGATTATGTTTATTAATCGCATAACCTATTCTGCTGCGTTTCTGAAAAGTGTACAACCTTTCGTTGTCAAAGTTACAAAACACTCAATAACAGACTATGTGATTGCTGGCAATATACAACGAAAAGAATGTACATTATTCAGAAGTTCATGTACTGGACTGTTAACATCTAATTGGCGATCACTCAATATTTATCGCCAGGACCGACCAAGAAGAAAGAAACGGAAACTTTTTGAAATACTTTACACTGAGAATTTTATATTGTACCGAAAATATAATATTGAATGAAGCTGACAATAATAATAATAATAATAAATAAAATATAACAACCATACCCAGTGTTTTACATTATAAATCCTGTAAGTATGCATAATTATAGTCTACATAATGCCAGAACAAATATTGATGCAGAATAATATGACTGCATTACATTTCGTGGTTTCTCGTAAGCTGCATACAACCAAACATGTATTAGACTTTAACACTGAGGTAAGAAATAGTATGAAACAATTGACATAAAAGAAATTAAAGAATTAGAATAACCTAGGTTATCAATAGTACCTATATATATATGTGCAAGAACAGGTCAAAGGTTATTTGGTGTTAGAATCAAGGAAACATTAAGGACGGGTGGTGTAATAGTCAGACACAGATAAAATAAATTGTGTGACAATCTTAGATGTAATAAAGGATTCATGGAATGAAAAACTGATAAGATAATTGAGTAGAATTTGAAGAGTTTACATAATTTAAGAGGATCAAATGAGCAAAACAGTGATTGAAAGGAGGTCCAAGAATTTGGTAATGGGAGAGGAATATAACACAATTTTCTTCCAATTATTACCTGATCCATCTTATCAGGGAACAAACTGCATGAAATCATTGCCTAGTTCGGTACTAATATTAATTTGATATTAGACCTAATCCGACAACTGTAAATGTGTCATGCGGTTGCCTAATCTGTGAGATTTTATGCGAAAGTCGCTTCACTGTGTAAAATGAATCGACGTCTTGTCACAATTAACAATGACATAACGCTATGATCTAATGAAACTTTGAAACTGATGCAGTAGTACAAGTTCATGATTCTCACAGACAGTTGCTCGTTAACACTATTGGTATACCACCCCAATTAAGTGAGAAGAAGAGGAAAATAAAAATTAATATTGATAATTCCTAAAAAATAATTGTTGACGTTTTTCTCAACTTTCATCATGAAACGTTTACCATATTTCTCAATTGCGTTGTATGTGAAGTCTTTGGTGTCGAAGAATCCTTATATACTCAACACTCGGTCTCCGTAATGAACGTTTTGTGTTGTTTCGTAAGTTCCGCGTATTATCTAACTTCCATCTAGTACAATGCCTAAGAATTTGATGGGCTATACAGTTTACATTTCGTATTTGATTAGGCTTACCCCTAATAGTTCATCATTTAACATAAGCTAGTAGCATATGGCGACAAGGATATTGACACGTCTGCACGCGTGAAATTTTGCGTCCAAGCAAACATAACAGGACATCCTCGACCAAAATTATCCGTCACTACAAACAGGAATAAAGAATATCTGCAAAGTGCAATAAAGAAAGCATAATCACTTTTTATTAATGGCATTGTAAGTAGAATCTATGCAAACAACTTTGGGAAATTTATTGTGCAACTGTGTTTGCTCATGAGTGCTGAAGCAAATTCTTGTCACATATCTGTTTCCATAATGCTCTTTCACTTCACTATTTTGTCGCAGCATATCCACCACTTGCTTTCGCGTCATATAACTTGAAATATACTTGTATACACTTACCTGTGGAGATTTTAGCTTCGCAGTCTTCATATCGTCAGCAGTGACCTGCTTACCAGTCCTATCCTTGATAATAGACAAGCATGACATTGATCACCACCCAGTGATCAATCAATTGTGATTACATCTCAATCCTACAGGAAGTTAGTCACGGCTCCGATAGCTCAGTGGTGAATGTATACACATAGATATTATTGTATCTTAAAGTTAAGCTTTCTGGAAATCTAATTGAAAGAAATATTGTTATTCTCCATTAGTCATAGCTCACTAAAATTCGGAAATTATATTTCGAAGTGAGCACATGGCTGAAGTTGATAATGTAAACCATTAAATCCCAACGCACTATTCTGAAGGTTGGGTCGTTGATGCCCGCTACTAATGTGTCCCATATTAGGATGAAGTAGCTCTCCAATGCTTCCTGGCTTCTGATAGTTGTCTAACTGAGATCAAACCTTGATACAGACCGGGAAATTCAGCCATCTCCACAAACCACCTTCAATGGTAATAATTATGTGGTCACTAGTGACTTATTTTGAGAAGTAATTCTTGGAGTTTCAGTCGGATACTGTGATCAGTGTAGTCTACTCATGTTAGATGTGAGGCAGTTATTGACGAAAGCAATTTTATCCATCTATATGTGCTGTTTGGATTTATTTCCACTTTTTTATGCCCTTTTTTCGAATTAGAAATTTTCAACTGAAGATCTTATGGATGAAGGAGAAATTGGTCGAGGAGCATATGGATTTGTTAATCGTATGGTTCATAGACCTACGAAAACAGCTATGGCAGTTAAGGTATATATATATAACTGATAAGTTCGTTTCTCCATTTTTTCGTGATTAGGTTTTGCAATTAACACAAAGATATACTGCCTGATACAAGATTATGTGACTTAAAGCATTCCCATGATCTCTAAGGATAATTACAATCAGATGTACCATTAATCCATTTTAGATCTTAGAATATTTGTTCAACGTATATATTTATGAAATCAGGATTTTATTCTACTGTAGATGAGTAGTTATAAAGCAGTGGTTTGGTGATTTTAAAGCGCTCAGTCTCAAGAGTCGCTCAACCCACTTTGATTTTGACAGTCGGTTAGTATCGTCAGCTCTCAAATACAAAACATTTAACTAAAAACCTAGTGGATAAATCTGTCAATCAGTCATAAGTGATGTAGAAAATAAAGCTGAAGAGTATCGGTCCAATTTATTACGCTCCACATGAAATTGGTAAAGAAAATTGACAAGATAAGGAACGAAGAGCGTAAAAATCATAGTACGAACGACGATCCAAACTAAACATCAAAAAATTAGAATGAAAGATTTGGATTCATATTAATGTTCAATATTTAACGGAAAGACGAAGATTGAATTTCATTACACAATTGGAATCACAAGCTACATGACCAAATATTGCCAAATACTAAGCTCTATTTTGTCGAAAGAACACGAATTTTATCAAGTTCGATTCCATTGTAGAACAATCACTCTTTTTTTATTTGTCCTTTGTATATCCTAGTAAAAAAACACGTTAGTCATGTTGTGACAACGAAAATCTTATTGTTTTAGAAATGTTTCAATGCACTCGTTGAAATCTCCCTTACATGACTCAGTTGCTCTCATTGTTTGATATTTTTCGGACACCTTACTTCACTTAACTAGTCCCCATATAAGAACGTAATTATATTCCAAGTAAACAAAGTTTAATGGGACTAAGAATCACAATAAGAAAAACGTTAGTGTACTTATAATTTTGCACGAGAAGTTTCTAGTTCTCTTCAATTATTTGCCAGCGGTGACTGTCTAAAAATTGTCCAGTCAACGTGCTTCAACACAATCCTGCACAGAACATGCATTAATCTAATCTATATACCTCTAATACCTCCCTTTTGAGTAGATTTGTTGGATCTAGTGTTAGCGTCCACTTGCAACCATGTGACTCGTGTGTGCTTTCTATTTATCCACGTTCTAGGCAATAAAGAAATGGTATCATTCTACTTGCACAGAGACTGACCTATTTGTTTCAGGGGTTTCGATTTCAGAGATGTCCAGCAGAACACCAAGAGGTAATATATGTCGGTTCTCGTTGCTGGCAATCGAAGTTGCTTTCATTTGGTTAGCATGACGTACCCAAACTTCTGATCCATCTGATACCTCATAAACCTCATTTTCTTTCCTTTGCATGACTTGACCAGCCAAACATCTATGTAGGATGTTTGCCACTACAGTCCATAGCAAGTACTTTTTAACCCATGGTGAGCAATAATCTTTTTAACCCATGATGTCAGTTGAAGTGTTTCTTCATCGATCTGCTTCGTTGAGGCTCAAGGTCTGGGATAAGACGAATAGCCTCTAAATATTTATGTATTTTCCTCCCAAGTAAAGTTTCAGTTGTAGAGACTCCGTTAATTGTTTGAGGTTTTGGGGTAGGACGATAGATGATCAGGAACCTCCGTGAAACCTTTCCCGTGGTTTCCTCCTCTTTTGATTTCTGCAGAGCGTTTTTAAATGCACCAACAAGCCATTCTACTTGACTATTGGGTTGAGGATGGGATGGATACGTCCGAAAATGATTAATTCCGTCCTGCCAAAAAATTCTGAGATTGAAGTACATAGTCTGCGTCCTTAAAACTGCTGAAGCTCTGCCTAGCAGATCTTCGAGGGCCATCCTCTTAAGTGGAACTTTTTAGTTTATTGTAGGTCTTGGTCTTGGGGAAATTCTTCTTTTACCTCACCTGATGACACTAGTAGATGAGCTTTCACCATGGTGGAATGAACAAAATCAACTTGAAAAGGCCGGAGCAATTTTTTCCCTTCCACCCGTTTTTGTTTCAGATATTGGAATTTTTAGTGGTATGCACAGAGCATTACAGACATGGTTGATTGGTTCATCCAATATTAGAAGTTTTTCTAACATATCTAGACCAAAGAGACCGGAGTTTGGTCAGTCTGTTAGAAAACATATTCTTTTAGAATTAATTCAGCTGAAAGAAAATTCACACTGTTGTTCACTAACAGGTTTCAACACATTACTTGTCTTATGTGGTTTCATTGCTAGTCTCCCATTAAGTTCATACGTTCCTTTAGATATCAGGATCATATTGGATGCCGTTTCAATTTAAAGATACGTTTACGTGCCGTTAGTTAGGATAGTAACACACTTCCTCCGAATGTCATAGTGTGTTCTAGATGAAGTGATTAGGACTTGGCTGACTTCATGTGTCGAAGAAGTTTATATTTCTTCCTAGTTTGGGACATACTAATGATTGGACGATAGCCTTTTTTATGTCCGCCTCTGCTGAGCATCTGACATTTATGCTTCTTCAATGAACAGAATCGTTTATAACTCCAACCACCACATAACCAACAAGCAGTCATTGGTTTGTTATCAGTTGTTTCTAATGTTCTTGGGTTCTGAGGTTTTGACCTAGTAATAACATTCACACTACTTCAGGTTAAATTCGGATTTACCTGTTCAATTAATTCATTGTCGTGACTGATGTTCTTCAGCCTTTTAGACTCATCCATCAGTGTTCTGAGTTTGATTTTTGGATCTTGACCTAGTCAAGTAAAAAATCTTGTCTTAATCTCAGCATCTTATGATGACTGAAGAGCTTTGATGAATATTAGGTATTTCAATTGGTCTTCCGTCAATGAGCGCAACTTGGACTGTTCACACTCGCTGTTTATGACATTTGCTAGAGCACTGTAATCACCAACTTCACGTCTCACCAAATTTAGAAACTACCATCGAATACTAAACAATGAAGACGATTCAACGAATATCTCTGACAGTTGGGTTACTATTTCTTCGAAAGTAAGCTTTCGTCGTAACCTCGACAGTGAGTGGTCAACGTAGCGTGTATATTCACTTCTCCCCAACTTCCTCATCAGCAATCGAGTCTTCCAAACGTCATCTTGTTTACAGAATTCTATTCTAAGTAACTGCTTCTGTGACTTCGATGTTCATTTTGTTGTGCTAATGAAGTGTGGCAACTTGGACCGATGCATATATATGCCTGGTCCTACGTTGTAGCTGAGTGACTGTATCTTCTCAATTGTTGAATTGCTTGAAGACAGTATTCCCACTTTCAGGGTCATAAATGAATTCTGAAATACTTCTGGCAACTGTATCACAAGAAATAGTTCACATAGCATATGAAATCGAACAGTGAATATGTGTCAGAGTTTATAACAACTAGGTTTGTGAATTAAGTTGTACTTGCTACTGTTATACAATTCGGTTGAGTTGGTCATCTGATATATGCATCTTCAGTGTGTTTCCCTTTTTTTCCCCTGTCATCACAGTTATATATGACGTTATTCGATCCAGCTCTTCTTATTGCTTAGTATTCTTCAGACATTTTGTTTTACTTGACTAGTCTTCGAGTTCTTTTGTTGTTGTTTTATTCTACAAGAGAATACGTTCAACGTTAAATGAACGTGAACAAAGAAATACATTGAAAGATTTAGATGTTGTTATGAATTCAGCAAATTGTCCAAATATTGTTCTATTTTATGGTGCAATATTTACAGAAGGTGATTGTTGGATATGCATGGAAATGATGTCTACATCATTAGATAAATTTTATAAATTTGTTTATAATTATTTACAATCACGAATCCCTGAAAGTATTATTGGGAAAATTACTACAGCTGTAAGTTATATACTTATATATGTGTATATGTATTTAAATATTTGATTGGTTACCTCTTTCCTTCAATGTTGTCTAACTGTGATATATTATTATTATTATTATTATTATTATTATTATTATTATTATTATTATTATTTATTTATTTATTTATTTATTTAAACACATAAACATTGGTACAAGGAGGCACCAAATACATATTCGCCACATAAATCATTGGATTGGTGTGAAGGCTAGGATACTGTCCGGGTGACCAAACCGAAGTAGGTGGTTTTCTAAGGGGCCACACCCAGAGCCTTCGACCTAAATGTTTGATCCACAAAGCAGTGGGGCATCGTGAGGAGATGCAGTCCCATGGTAGCCAATGACCGATGATTGGTTCATACGCCATTTGCTCATTCGGAATCCTGTAGCCCATGTGCATGATTGGTTTGGAATTGTGGTTTTTCAACTCCCCTAGGTGGACTCTACATGTTCACCAACCCGATTAAAGCGCCGGACATTCGGTTTTCGTTCTCTCAATTTCGTAAACAAGACCGGTGCCTCGAGGAGGCCGTGAGTAGGACTTCTGTGTTAGTGGTTGTGTTTCCGATCGAAGATTAAATCACGAGTAACTTCTCAGACCTATTAATTGACTAATATTATCTATAAATTCTTATGGTATAAATATTCAATAATTAGATTATGTATATTTATACTCATCTTATTATAAGCTTTATTTTGACCTATAATTTATTATTGTACGATTTGCGGTTCTTAAGCTATGTTCAGTTTTTGGACTACTGCCTCCCACGTTCACAGCCACATTTGGCTAAATATTATACAAATGTTATTTTCTATTTTATGGTACGTTGTGGTTTGTCTGGTTGATATATAAACCGAGTATGTTTGAAATAAATAATTCATATTGCAGAAGCTGGTGTTTGTGTTCTGGACTCAAGTGGACGGGCGGACCAGTAAGGACGCTAGACTGCTCATACCGGTAGGACGTCATTGGTTTGACACAGTGCTAAGATTGTATAAATCGCGTTTTGATTAGTGGATAAATCACGTGATAAAAGCCGGACATAAAGTCATGACAGGTTGTATGCACGTGACCATATGAGAGCATTTGGAGATGGATTGCTGACTCTCCCTAATCTCAGTCGTACTAAGGCATTTGATAGCATAAGTAGAGTGTTCTAGACAATAAGAATTGACAGGAACTATGATTCCTATAATGGCTCCATTCTCTGAGAAGCCTCTGTTCCATCAAGACTTTAGAATACAAAAAAGATAATAATTAACATATTTTACTCTGAAATGTTTCAAAATTCTTTATCACTTTTAATTAACTTAAACTTACAATAGAGAAATGACTGATTAGTTTGATCAATAGAATAAATTATACGATCAGATCATTCAAATCACTTGGGTGTATGAATCAAGATCTGCCAGTAGAAAACTTCTTATTTCTATTTGATTAATCGGTTACATTTTTAATGTCTTACTTAACAACATTAGAATTCAAAAATATTGAAAATGATTATATATGTGTAAGTGATTAAGCATTTATTAAGATATGCGAAGGTCACACGTTCAATTCATGACTAGGTTGTAGTTACTCACTATTCAAGAATCTCATAGTAGAACTAAATGAGATTTTACCATTGTGCTTTGGTTTTAAAATGATATTCTAATAGTGATCAATCCATGAAGAATATAACTTATAAGTTAAATCACTCACTACAAAATATCTTTTCTTTTGGATTGAGTTTTGTTCTCTGAACTGGATGGTTTGTTTGGTCGTGGAGCTTTCTACCGGAAGTTTGTGCTCATGATGTCGTTCAGAAGAATGATGATGAAAGCTCTACGATCAAACTATCCAGCTCAGAGAAGAACAAAATTTCATCAAAATCATCCACCTGAGCTATAAATCTTCACCATCAAAAAACATTTTCAAACAAATTAATCATACATTTAATCGATCTATTATTATTACCTTATTTGGTTTTCTTACTAATTTTTTTTGTTTTTTTTCTTTTACATATAAAAAGACTGTTTCAGCACTTGATTACTTGAAAACTGCTCTTAAAGTCATTCACCGAGGTAAGTAAACATGAAGTAGTAGTAGTAGTGATGGTGGTGGCGGTGGTGGTTGTAGTATGAGTAGTAGTTAATGGTGTATAGAAAAATTCTCAAGGGGATTGATATACACGTTACTTTTTCTATTTACACTATCTTATCTTAATCAAACAAAAGTTTATGCTTTAACATCAAGTCTCTAAACTATTTTTTTCTTGTTAAAACTTAGTCCGGGTAATTCACTTGGTATTGTTTGGCTTGTATGTTCCCATTGAGATTTAAGACTGCAATTGATCAGTCTGTTATTAGTATATGTGCATATGCCTCGATATTGCCTTAATTCACAAGCTTTTTGTAAGCAATGATGGATATTGGCTAGTAGTGGAATCCAGGACGCGCGTTTCGTCCTATTAGTTCTGGTAATTTTATAAAGATCAATAATAATTTAGTTGAAGTGTTGAAATATATGCGAATTGATTTACTAGTTTTCTTTTCACTAGTCTATTTAATTCGATCCACTGAACTAGGTGTTGGAAGCTTCTTAGATTGTTTTTTTTCTATATTAACCTTTTGTGTTTTCTTACTTACTTATTTATTTACGCCTGTTACTCCTAATGGAGCATACGCCGCCGACCAGCATTCTCTAACCCAGTCTGTTCTGGGCCTTCTTTTCTAGTTCCATCCAATTCTTGTTCATTTTTCTCATATCTAATGTGTAATGTGTTCTTTGGTCTTCCTCTTTTCCTTTGGCCTTGAGGATTCCATGCGAGAGCTTGTCTTGTGACGCAGTTGGGTGCTTTCCTCAATGGGTGTCCTATTCATTTCCAGCGCTTCTTCCTGATTTCTTCCTCCACTGGGATCTGGTTTGTTCTCTCCCACAGTAGGTTGTTCCTAATAGTGTCCGGCCAACGGATTTGTGTTTTCTTAGTTCCTATTTATCTTTCGATATATGATTGTTTTCAACTCATTCTTACATTTTAATTATATTTGATTCAATGAAGTACATTTCTCAAAGAGTATTCGTTATGTATAGAACACATTAAAAATCAAGAAGCATTAGATAATTATCTTAATTCTATTAGTAAAATTGTTCACCTAAGATCGTATAGTAGTAGATTGTATCCATAAATCATGTGTGTAACGTTGATAACATAGTATCATTCAGTAATTTAACGGGTATTTATTCCTTAGTTCACATTTTTTCCATGTTTCATGATTTCCAAAAAGATCTTCAATTAATTTAAATCCATAAAGAAAGTTGTCTATTTTCAAACTATTACCACTGTTTACATCATTAATGTATATAAGTTTGATGAATATAATGACTGATTTAAGTATTTTCTTTGCTTATCATCGGGTCAACATTTAGACGCTTACTTTTCCTAACAAAGTGTCAAGAATTAAGTGGTATTATACACAATTACATTTATGTATATAATGAATAGTCTAGTTTTAATTACTTACTTACGCCTGTTACCCCTCGAGGAGGAGCATAGGCCACCCACCTGGATTCTCCGCCGAACTCTGTTTTAGGGAATTCTTTCCAATCCACAAGCAAATTATTGTAAGATTGTATAACATTCCACTATTTAATTGTTTTGTTTTTTCTAATTTAGAAGATTTATGAAGATCGTTGAATTTTTTGTAGTTTACATCCACAGACTGAATGTACCGAAGCAAACATAAAAAAATCATCAAGCACATGACAGGTGTTTTATTTCAGTATGGAAATCTTCAGTGGCATACATCCATAACTTTACCAGGTATCGAACCCAAGGACAGGGTCTAACTATCAGATCACTAAGCACGTATACCATAATTTACATTCCTGACTTCAATCATGTGCTCACTATTGACTAACACGTAGAGGTAATTTCTGAAAATTAGGCATTTACCTACCTATCGTATAAGATGATAATCGCGCAATAACACAAACGTATTTAGGTTAGGCATTGAAATTATCGGATACCAGCTGAGTGATCTGATAGTTAGTCACTCGTTGAGGTACCTAAAAGGTCCAGCACTCTATCCGTGGTGACAGGGTCGTATATGCATGGTACTGAAGAGCCAGATACTAGGAAAAAATATCTGTCTATCACTTCTCAGTTTTCTATTTTTATTTGGCTATAATGGGTTTGTGGTGTAAACCACATGAAAATAACAATATTTTATTTTGTACATCATTTGTCGACTATACAGATGTAAAACCATCAAATATTCTGATCGATTGTAACGGTAATGTGAAATTATGTGACTTTGGTATATCTGGTCAGTTGGTTGATAGTATTGCTCGATCACGTGATGCTGGTTGTAAACCGTATATGGCGGTAAGCTTTAATTAACTCCCTTGTTTATTTGTTTTTCGTAACTTTCTTAGATTTCTTATTTGTTAGTCTGTATATGGATCTAAATCAATGATTTATGTGAAATTAAATGGATTACAACCTTAGTTATATATAGTTAATGGAAACCAGGAAGTACTGAAAACCTGTTATGTCCTATTGTGTGACTCTTTGTCAGTACGTATCTACAACCATAACTAAGGATTGAGTCATGAACTATTAGCAACTTGGATGACTCTCACAATCTCTCACATTGTACGAGCATTTCATGTACCTAAATAAATGGTTGCTCTGGTTGTCAGAAGGGGCATCAGTCTCGTGACTTGCGAAGGAATTCGGCTTTCACCATGAGGCGTCATAACTCTTCTAACTGAAGACCTTCTGACTCCCAGGGCAGAGATTAAATGGTTTGAATAATTTTTTCTGATTAGCGTTTTTTTAGCGAGTTAGTTTTGTACGGGATGGGGTCGTTAACCCCATACTCAACCCTCCTCCTTTATCTGGGCTTGGGACCGGTGGTAGCCCCAGAGGGGCTCCAGGCGGAGTTATGAACTATTAAGTCTTATGATAAACGCTAAACTTTTAAGTCACTGAATTGGATTCAAATGTTATACATTTCTAATTTCAATCACATTGCCATTTCTCATTCTGGTTAAATAAAAATATAAGTTTTAAGCAAAAAATTGTTAATATTTAACTCATTCATTTGTTCTTCTACATAGTAATATCAAGACAATTAAGGTGTACATATGCGTGTGTATGAGTAACTCTGTCATTTACAATACAATTCGTTTTTACCGTTATTTCTAATATCTAGGGTTTTATACTAAGACAAGTGTAAATAGTTTTCTTGTCAGGGTTTGAATTTTACTGTAAGAAAGTTTCATTTGACTAACATCAACCCCCCTAATAAATATATACACACACAGATCAAGAGAGGGAGAGAGCGCGCGCGAAACGTAAATACACATTCACCACTGTTTAATGACTATATATCCTTTTTGTTAATGAGAAACCTTTCAATTTTAAGATGAAAACTATGGTGAATGTGTTTTGCAACAAATAAAATGTATATTCTCCATTACCACTTTTGAATATAAAACAATATATTCAATGCCAACTCATATCTATGCGTATTATGTATTTGTAAAGAAACAATCATGTGCTATATTAAGGTTGCATAGTAACTAACAGCGTGATCCAATACATTCGTTTCGTCTAGCTTAAGACTTGTTAACCGGAAGTGTTTGGATCTCCCGGCTTTACGTTTACACTAGGAGTTGAAGCACACAGACACCCAACAAATAAAAGTGTGAAGGAATTGCACCGATTTATTACTGTGTTATGACTGGTGTTATATATTGCGCCTAACATTCTTAGCATTGATAAGATAAATAACTTGACTAAGGTTATTGAATCATTTTGGTGGAGTTTTGTTCTCTGAGCTGGATGGTTTGGTCGTCGAGCTTTCATCGTTCTTCTGATGTTTGTGCTGATGATATCGTTCAGAAGAACGATGAAAGCTCCACGACCAAACCATCCAGCTCAGAGAACAAAACTCCACCAAAATCATCCACCTGAGCTACAAATCTTCTCCACCATCTCGTTATTGAATCATGCATATTACATATAATTAACCAGCGCCTACTTCGACCCGTGAGTTTTACTGGTGTAGGAGTAGATTGGAAGAAAGCTACGAGTAGCCAAAATAAAAATAACACTCGTCCATAAAGTCACTAATTTCTAGACTAAGCTATTTCGGTAAGTACAACTCAATTGATTAGAGTGTGTATAATAACCGCGATTAGTGTTTGGAGAGGCGTTAAATTTCCTGGGTCAGAAGCGGTAATGGTGAGCGTAGTTATATTCAATCTCTTTCGCTTTTTGGACTGTGAGTTTTGAAATTATCTCATAACCTCTATCCTGTAAATCATTTTTGTTCAGATAATATTGTCTATACCTAATCTTTCATACCATTACCACCGGTGTTGTTACTGGCTTCCACTACCCTGACAGTTCTCTTGATAATTTCAAGTTCTGTGTTACTTATAACTGCTTAACTGACCTAAATAACTCAACATAATGATGGGCTATGCTTGATTTTGAATTATTACATAAATGGTCAGCAGAAACCTTTGTAGTGACATAAATTTGGCGCTAGATGGTACTTTTCAGTAAAACATATCTATCTAAAAACTTTGAAAAACACTAGTAACCCTCCAATAGTTCTGAAAAAAAAATCTATCACTGTTTCCTACTGTCATAGATGTTACAAATAAGCTATTGCAGATGTTATTCTCAATTTTCATGATTCTAGATACGTCTTGCTAATGACTCTCAGTTAATATGAAATTAAAGTTCAGATACTTAGTGGTAATTCAATGTCCCTATACATTTCCGAAGTTCCATTTTTTATGTATTATGGTATTATGGCTTAATTGACTCTTCTGGATCGTTAAGTTACTTACTTACTTACTTACTTACGCCTGTTACTCCTCGTGAAGGAGCATAGGCCGCTCACCAGCGTTCTCCATCCAACCCTGTCCTGGGCAATCCTTTCTAGCTCCGTCCAGTTGTAATTCATCGTTTTCATATCTGCTTCTATTATCCGACGCAATGTGTTCTTTGGCCTTCCTCTTTTTCGCTTCCCCTCAGGATTCCAAGTTAGGGCTTGCCTCGTGATGCAGTTTGACGATTTGCGTAATGTATGTCCTATCCATTTCCATCGTCTTTTCCTAATTTCCTCTTCAGCTGGAAGTTGCTTTGTTCTCTCCCACAGAAGGCTGTTGCTGATGGTATCCGGCCAATGGATGTTGAGTATCTTGCGAAGGCAGCTATTTATAAATACTTGTACTTTCTTGATTGTGGTTGTTGTAGTTCTCCAAGTTTCAGCTCCATACAGTAGAACTGCCTTGACGTTCGTATTGAAGATTCTCACTTTGATATTGGTTGAAAGTTGTTTTGAGTTCCATATGTTCTTCAATTGTAGGAATGCGACCCTTGCTTTACCGATCCTCGCCTTTACGTCTGCATCTGAGCCTCCTTGTTCATCGATGATGCTTCCCAGATATGTGAAGGATTCTACATCTTCCAGAGTTTCGCCATCAAGAGTGATTGGATTGCTGTTCTCCGCTTTGAATTTGAGGACCTTAGTTTTCCCTTTGTGTATGCTGAGGCCTACTGATGCAGAGACTGCTGCTACACTGGCTGTCTTCATCTGCATCTGTTCGTGTGTACGTGATAGGAGGGCTAGGTCATCTGCGAAGTCCAAATCGTCTAATTGATTCTGAGCTGTCCATTGTATTCCATGTTTTCCTTCAGATGTTGAGGTCTTCATAATCCAGTCGACCACCAGGAGAAAAAGGAAGGGAGAGAGTAAACAGCCTTGTCTGACTCCGGTCCTTACTTGGAATGCATCTGTCAGCTGTCCTCCATGCACTACTTTGCACTGTAGTCCGTCGTATGAGTTCCGGATTATATTGACAATCTTCTCAGGAATTCCGTAGTGTCGAAGAAGTTTCCATAACGTCCTGCTGTCTACACTGTCGAATGCCTTTTCATAATCAATGAAGTTGATGTATAATGATGAGTTCCACTCAACTGATTGTTCGACGATGATCCGTAGTGTTGCAATTTGGTCTGTGCACGACCGATCCTTACGGAATCCAGCTTGTTGATCTCGAAGTTGGGCGTCTACTGCATCCTTCATCCGGTTCAGCAACACTCTGTTGAAGACTTTCCCTGGTATTGACAGTAGTGTTATGCCTCTGTAGTTTTCACATTTGCTCAGATCTCCTTTCTTTGGAATCTTGACGAGGTGTCCTTCTTTCCAGTCCATCGGCACTTGTTCCTCCTCCCAAATCTTTTTGAATAGAAGATAAAGCATGCTTGTGGTTGTTTCGATGTCTGATTTCAGTGCTTCAGCTGGTATGTTGTCGGGTCCTGCTGCTTTCCCGTTCTTGATTTGTCTGACGGCCATTCTAATTTCTTCCGTAGTTGGTGGATTGACATCTATAGGAAGATCTATGTGTGCTGCTTCGATGTCCGGTGGATTCATTGGAGCCGGCCTATTCAGGAGTTCCTCGAAGTATTCTACCCATCTGTTACGTCGTTGTTGAATTTCGGTGATTGGCTTGCCTTCTTTGTCTTTGACCGGCCTCTCTGGTTTACTGTATTTCCCTGATAGTTTCTTCGTTGTATCGTAAAGCTGTTTCATGTTTCCTTCTCTAGCAGCTTTTTCTGCCGTCGTTGCTAGTTCTTCAACGTATTTCTTCTTGTCGGCTCTAATGCTCCTCTTCACTTGTTTGTTTGCTTCTATGTATTCAGCTTGTGCTTGGACTTTCTCTGCTCATGTTCGGCTGTTGTTTATTGCTGCCTTCTTGTTCTTCCTTTCTTTGATCTTGTCCACTGTTTCTGTAGAGATCCATTCCTTATGATGGTATTTCTTTAGGCCGAGAACCTCTTGACACGTTGAAGTTAATGCTTCCTTGATGCCTTTCCAGTTGTCCCTGCTTCGGTTTGGGCACCCGGGCAGTATCACAGCCCTCACACAAATCTCATTCGATTTGTGTGGCACATATTTATTTGGTGGCTCATTGTACCAATATCTATGTGTTAAAATAAATAATAAATTCCAGTTGTCCTCCATAGTAGTTTCTTCTTCTTTCAGTAGATCTCGTAAGGCTTGGAACCTGTTGTTGAGAGCTATCTTGAATTCATTGAGTTTGACAGTATCTCGAAGGAAGGCTGTATTGAACCTTTGTATTGCTGTTTGTCCACTTGTCCAGTTCTTTTTTAGCTTCAGTTTCAAATTGGCTACAACTAGGTGGTGATCTGAAGCTACGTCAGCACCTCTCCTGGTTCTCACATCTTCCATTGTCCTTCGGAATTTTTTGTTGATGCAGATATGATCTATCTGGTTCTCTGTAGTGTGGTCCGGTGAGATCCATGTAGCCTTGTGTATACGCTTGTGTGGAAATATTGTGCCTCCTATGACCAATTTGTTGAATGCGCATAGATTTGCAAATCTTTCTCCATTTTCGTTTCTTTCTCCCAGTCCATATCGTCCCATAATATCTTCATATCCAGTGTTGTCTATTCCGACTTTGGCATTTAGATCTCCCATTAGAATGGTGAGGTCCTTTCTTGGGCATTTCTCTATCACTGACTGCAGCCGCTCGTAGAATTGATCTTTAATGTCGTCGTTGCTATCATTGGTGGGTGCATAACATTGGATAATATTCATTAAGATCCCCTCCTTCTTTGTTTTGAATGATGCTTTGATGATTCTGGATCCGTGAGATTCCCATCATACAAGTGCATTTCGTGCTACTTTGGACAGCATAAGAGCGACTCCCTGAGTGTGTGGAGCATTGTCCTCTTCGTGACCGGAGTATAGCAGCATCTCTCCCGTAGCTAGCCTTTTCTGTCCAGCTTGGGTCCAGTGGGTTTCGCTGATTCCCAGTACTGCTAAGTTGTATCTCCTCATTTCCATTGATATTTGACTGGTCTTCCCGGTTTCCCACATTGTTCGAACGTTCCATGTACCTATAAAAATTTTTGCTCTGGTTGTTAGAAGGGGCATCGGCCTCGTGGCTTCCGAAGGAACTCGGCTTTCACCATGAAGCGTCATAATTCTTCTAAATGAAGACCTTCTAACTCCCAGTGCAGAGTTAAAATGGTTTGGATTATTTTTTCTGGTAAGCGTTTTTTTAGCGAGTTAGTTTTCTACGGGATGGGGACGCTAACCCCATGCCAAACCCTCCTCCTTTACCCGGGCTTGGGACCGGCAGCAACCCTATAAGAGCTACAGGCGGAGTTAGGATCGTTAAGTTAGGACTTGAAATCTACCTAGAAGTTAAACCACTTCATACATAAATTCGTAACAACAGTGATTCGAAACTTATCAATATCCTGGTTGTATTGTGTGTACATTTGCTGAGGAGTCTAACTGGAACTAAATGACTATCTATTACTTCCCTTTTTGGTTTCATGTATTAGTGGATTAGTAATTAAAGCAGCTAGTTCACATTGAACAACCTTTATTGGGGTATAATATCATTAACTCTTGCATGAAAAAAGTATATTACACAAGCTAGTATTGTCTACTTACTAAGTTATTGTGATCATTGAATCGTTGTTTTGTATGATTAGTTTTTTTCTTATTCATGTAATTGTTATGCCCCGATAAGAATAATGAATGGTAACTTTTGGGATCCATTTATAGAACAATATTATACGTATATTTTATCGTATAATTTTTATGTGACTAAACTATTCATATTCATGTCTGTCTTATCACAAGCTTTGTTTTGACCTATGAACTATTATTATACGATTTACCATTCTTGAATTATGCCCTGTCTATTAATTACTACCTCCCTCATTCACAGCCACATTTGGCTAATTCTTGTACAGATGATGTTTCATATTTTATTGGTACGTTGTGGTCTGTCTGGTTGGTATATGAACCCAATACGCTTAAGATAAGGGATTCATTTCACAGAGACTGAGATTTGTGTTCTGAACTCAACTGGCTAGGCTAAGCAGGAAGCAAGATCAATAAGGACTCTAGACTGTGTCATACGGGTTTACGCGTCATTGATCCGATTGATAAGTAATTCAGTGCTCACTAATTGGCGGTATTTCCTTTAAGTTATACATTAACGGGGCACACAGGCCACAAGTTATAACAGTAATAAAATTTTAATTTTATGCCAATGTATTATTCTTCATTTTTATTATTATCACTGTTATTATTATAGCCAGAACGTATTCATCCAGAGTTAAGCGCTAATGGTTATGATATACGTTCAGATGTATGGAGTTTAGGCATTACTTTGATTGAATTATCCACTGGACAATTTCCTTATCCATCATGGAATTCCGTATTTGAACAACTCACTTGTGTATTAGATAATGATTCACCTAGTTTACCGGAATACTTACCAAAATCTATTCAAACTTCATCATCAACTACAACACTTGTCAATATTGAATATTCCAATAATTCAAATGAATCTTATTCATCATCATCATCATCAACAACAACAACAACAGATTTTTCATCTGAATTTCGTAATTTTGTTTCACAGTGTTTAGAGAAAGATGTGAGATGTCGACCGAAATATCAAGCACTTATGGTTTGTTTTAACCTTTTCTATTTTGTTTTTGATAATGTTTCTTTTGTTCTTCATATTTACACATAGTTCACTTTTAATATATTCTTTAAGCTAAGGTATTTTACCAAACTAGTTAACCGATGATTTCACTTGCAAAGTTCCAAGCCTTGTTGAATCAAATTAATCTGGTTGTTCATAGTAGTAATTTGATTGACAAGAAAGAAATTGTTGTTGTTCAGATTAACTGCTTATCTCCTTTAAGTGTAAATTTATTTATTTATTATTTTATTTAGATACATAAACATTGGTACAAGGAGGCACCAAATAGATATGCGCCTCATAAATCATTCGACTTGTGTGAAAGCTAGGATACTTTCCGGGTGCCCAAACCGAAGTAGGTGGTTTTCTTAGGGGGCCACACCCCGAGCCTTTGACCTAAAGGTCTGACTCACAAGGCAGTAGAGCATCGTGAGGAGATGCAGTCCCATGGTAGCCGGTGACCGAAAATTGGTTCATACGCCATTTGTTCATTGGGAATCCTGTAGCCCATGTGCATGATTGGTTTGGAATTGTGGTTTTCCAACTCCCCTAGGTGGACTCTGCATGTCCACAAACCCGGTTAAAGCGCCGGACATTCGCTTTCCGTCCTTTCAATTTTGTAAGCAACACCGGTGCCTCGAGAAGGTAGTGAGTAGGACTTCTGTGTTATTGGTTGTATGCACTTGGCCATGTGAGAGCATTTGTAGATGGAGTGCATACTCTTCCCACTCTCAGCCTTACCAGGGGATTTGGGGGCTTAAGCATAAATGCCCACATTAATATAAAAATTCTTGTTGAATTTAGAATTTTTAACTGTTCGATGTCTTTAAAGTGTTCCATATATAAAATAATATCGATTAATATACAATGGTGATAAGTCTGTGCGGATTAAACGCTATATTCGTCTCCTAAGCTATTCTGTAACCCTCAAGCTAGAACTATATAGTGACCTGAACATGAGAGAGAAGAATCAAAGTATGCGAGAAGTAGTTTACTCCAAGGTTCATTTTAATACAGAAAATACAGGATTTTTATAATATTTTAAATGTCCTTGGTTTGCTAGAAGATTCTGGAATGCTACTAAACATAGTAGCAGTGTAGCAGTCAAGCAATCAAAGCCTCTGCATGAGACGATTCGCTTCCATGATATTTTTGGCTAAAACCTCAAGTGAACGCTGATTGGATGAAACGATTCTTAGTGTTTCCTGATGCTTGCTTGTCTTTTGCAAGCAATTTTCTGGATCACCCCAACAAATGGCTACATTGATATAGACGATAGTAAAATCACTATTGAAAATGTTTCATAATTGACTGATCTTGAGTTGTGTTCTTATTTCTGAGATGATGCCTTCAGGTTAACATAGTCATCAATAGCAGTCTTTTTCAGATTTCCTAAGAGAAGAATATTCACATTGTGAAATGTACACTTTAAGTAGGTTATTTTCTAGATCGTATTAAATAACCCCGCTAATATTCACCTTAATTTCCATTTAGAGCGTGGTATTCATTTACTTAGTAGTTAAGGTATTCAACTTTAAACTTATTATTGGTCACATTTAAGTACCATTTCTCCAACTTCAATATTGCAATAAATGTCATACAATCAAAGTGGAACTTAAGACCGACCACCAATTAAACATTTACATGGTGTATGAGTCGGTTACATTCACCGCTTAAAATATCTGAAATCATATTCTTGAGAAGGAATCTTAGTGAAAGATTGAAATTTCAGTAGACTAAAAAGATGTAAAACCTGTAAATCTTTTTAAGCTGTCTAGACTTAAAAAACAAAGGTACCTAATAACATTAAACTTGCACTTGGGTGGTCTTAAACAAAACCATGTGCCATGAAATTACTGTATTGTTCATTACCGCCTTATCATTTCGACATATTTATTTTTCAAACTGTATATCATGAACTAATCTTAATTGGGAAACCGTTAAAAACCGGGAATCATTTGATAGCTATTTTGTCCTAGTATATGTGAACTTCTCAGCATCAGCGACCCCACGAGCGACGAAATAGCTAACACTTGATCTCTCGCCGAACACTGGGTCTCTATGGTCACTGAAACGGTATCCATTGGTTTAAATTTCTAATTTAAATCATCTCATAACGTTTCACAATCATCTTCCTATACCGTTGGTAAGTAATTATTTCACATCCGACATGGTTAAACTTCATTGGTCACGGTTTCTCATCGGACCTCCATGACTAACCTTTCAAAACTCATCACTAATGTGTAGATAGTTATTATTTTTATTAAAACAGTAAAGTATTCTTGTATCGTTTGGAGTTTTTTCGTGTACACTATTATCTTGACGTTTAGATTATCCTCTATGTGTATGTTTACTGTTTTCTCTTTTTCACCTCCTCTATTATCGTCGTCTATACTCTAGCATCATCCATTCTATTTACGTTCATTAAGTGAATTTATTGACGTTGGAAAGTACTTTCAATCGATATTAAATAAAGTTCCTCCTCATATGAATATGAATGAATTAAGTCAAACTCACAGTTGACATTATGCCCTATCTACTTATTTATTTATATTATCTATGAATATCTCTTTGTTTTCGGAAATAACACCATGTATCATTCCAGTCACGTCGTATGCTGTATGCAAGAGATTTGACCGCGTAAGTAAAATCCTTTTTCTCTGTTTTAAATTTCCCGCTGTGCAAATATTTCATTATTAGTACTTTAGATAAACACTAAAATGATTTTTAAAAAAAAGCAACCCACAATCGTTTCTCATATGTGTATACATAACTTTGTTTCATTTCCATTTTGATTATTGCAAGTTATCTGTGTGGGGATACGTGTGTATTGAGTTGATTTGAGAGTGTTTATACATAAAAGTTTATATGGAGTGAAATCATTCTTTATTTCTGATTGCTTCCCTCATTGTTTTTTTTCTAGAAAAAAACAAACAAACAAACAACCGGTTTCATTTGTTTTCATTGAAAACTTTTTCTTATTGTATAAATTTAGATATTTATTCAGATATTACTTATGAATTTGTGCAATTATTATAAGTAGTATAATAATAGTACTATCATAACTCACTATTTTTTTTATCATTGTTTGGCTTTCTGTGTACATGCGTACTTGCGTAGTTCGACAATTTCTTTGTTTACTTGGCTGTGACAATCGAGTTTCTGTTAATCTATTGCTCTTATAGATATAGGCGCCATCATTATATTTCAAATTTTTATGTTTTCCCATTACTGTTTTCATTATTATTATTAATGTCATAATCATGACTTTCAATTGCCGTGTTACAAGTTGTATAAATCCTGGATACTGTATTTGCTGAATGTTTTGTTATGTTATTTAATGTGAATATATGTAGGATCTAGTTGTCAGTTTGACAGTTATAATCACTGTAACGCCTGGCATAAATTTGCATTAACCCAGGTTAGTATGTCATATTAATATAACACTACGGGGTTTAAAAGTCTCAGTGGTCTAGTGATTAAGTGCTCGCTCCCGAGACTGATAGGTCCTGAGTTGGAATCCCGCGGGGTGGGATCGTGTATGTGCATTGTTGGGGGGGAGTCCCACAATAGGACGTAATGGCCTTCCACGAAGTTTAAAAAGAAACGGATAGCAAATGAATTGAAATTATTCTGATGGCAATGATTATGAAAAAGATTGAATCTTGAGAGTATTGTTCAAGAAGACGAATTAAAATAGTATACATTAAAGAATATTGGTATAAATGAGCATCAAAATGAATTTATACCAATATAAAGGAATACTGGAACTAAAAATCTTCAGTAATGTAACCAATAAATAGATCTGCACCATTGTGATCGATTCTTAATCATGTCACTTAACGTTTCGAACCGCTGACTGTAATTATCGTCTTCATCTGTGCTAGGTTTGAAGTGGTTACGAGTTCAATTAGTCTGTGAACGAAAAATAGACTTGTGAACAAAGACCAATGAACTATCTATTCTATTGCGTCCCAGCCCTACTAACTAGAGAGACAAGTCGAAGTCCGAACAGGAAAGTATATTTCGCAAAAAACCAGAAGTACGAGCTAAAACAACAGACACAAATCAGAACGTATATATACAGCACAAAACCGTCCTTGGGAAGTGTTACAAAATAGCATACTAAAAGACACAACGGACCAATAGCGTTTAAGATTCTCCTAAATGGGAAATACGACATGAAGCTGAAGAAAGCACTTTTGGCGCGAAAACAAAAAATTCAAATTTTCAAAATAAAATTACAAAATTAGGACCATTTTCAATTGAGTTCTGGGAATCTAACGTCCCCAACAACCTGTAAGCATAGCTCAGATAAACAGTCAATGATTTGAGATATTGATTCTGTGTCTTGTTTTTACCACCTTAAAAAAACCTATTTAATCTCAACTTTACTTGAAACTAAAATTGTGGACTTTTAAATAACCGATTTGTGATTTATATTTAGTGTTATCGGTCAGTAACTTAAGCATTGACAACAATGCTTAAGTTCTATTGATCTATAGTTTTCTCACATAACATTGTACTAAGACATGTCGAGGCTTGTCTTTGGTAAACATAAAATCATGATTATTGAGATTTATGAAAATTGCTTTATTCATAATAATCACCTCAGATTGTTAGTTAGTCAGTCATACAAAACGTAGAGCCTAATATATGTATTTCGGTTCATTACATTAAGACACTGAAATCAGTCACAGACTATTAAAAGTAGTAACAGTGTCAATGGTCCTGGAAAAGATTAGGAATAACCAATATGATTCGAGAGAAAAGAATGAATTCATGGGATAAATACGAAAAGACAATATGATTTTGAATCTCAGGATGCTAGAAAAGACAAGAGTGAACACATCGATAACATTGCGACCGATTCAGAAACATTTCATTCATCATCTCTAACCTTTTGTTATTATAACCATGCAGATCTCAATTAGGTAATCTGAGTCTACTAACGCAGCTAATTCCAACAGCCGATAGTTTAATAGACTAGTGTGACGTAATGGTTTGTTCCTTCTACCTATCGCTCAACATATTCCTACATCAGCTGTCAGTGTGTTAATTGATGGTTGCTGATACGTACTGAATATTCTAACCACAGTTGAAGTTAAAGAAAAAACATCATCTGATTTTTCATATTTAACGAGTATTCTTAGTTTAAACACAGTGTTCCCCAACAAATGCCAGCAATGTTTGAATGGGATCTATAATCGAATATATTAGCAACATACAAATATGTTCTTCAGATTGATATCAGTTGGTAATTCATGGTTTACTTATTTATTGTTTAAAGCTTTTCATCTTTAAATCTAATAAATGAAATGGTGTTATATTGAATTCTATACTAACAACCATCATACAACATGAGTTTATCAACTCTTTTATAAAATTCTTGTTATTTAGTTGAATGTTGTTGGAACATTTGGAACCCTTACAAATATTAGAGAATTATTGATCAAATTTTCAAAAAGTAGTTGATATCACTGTTTAATAGTGTAATCATGTCCATAGATCCACAAAGAGATCATTATATCTGAACATTTCGAATGTAATTTACAGATCAGTTATAAGTGTGTCGAATGTTCAACGTTTAAACTAGTTACATTGATTGATCATTGACTAGTGACTAATGTTCATCTGATTTGTAGTGTTTATCAGATTCTTTCGATTAAATTGTAATGCGAACACTAATTTAAGTGACTGGATATCATGTACACTTTCCCGAGAAGTTAAATGATTATACATAGTATCAGGGATTGCTGGACTCAATTTTCACGAGAAATGACAGTCGTCAGCAAGTTTTACTTGGTATGTTATGGAGACTAATTCTCTCTGTAAGGCTTCAACTCGTGTCATCTAACTTAACGGTCTTCAAGATTACCATAGCTATTCTGGATGAACTAGACAGGTTTGACCTAAAGTTTGAAATTTGGCGAGTCGTAGATGCACAATACTGAGGTTTATACTAGGACCAAACAGCTGTTCAGTACTTTTATTTATTTGTGGCATCCGTGTTATAATACAGATATATATGATAATGTTAAATTTTTCGAAAACAACATTTAATAAAGTCTCAATAGTGTTATTATAGATTATTGTGTCAGATAAATATCTATAATAATTTGCATTAAGATGATAACCAAAATGATAGTTTTCTTCTACATTGTATTAGTCAGTCAGTCAGCTACAACGTGGGACCAGGTGCATACATGCATCGGTCCAGTTGGCCACACCTCATTAGCACAGTAAGACGAACACCGGACTCATTGAAGCAGTTAACTCAATGGTGGTAATATATAGAAGAAAGATTGCACATAATGACATAGTACAAGAAGAAAGAATTAGTTCGTAGGAAGAAAGACATGAAGCGATTTCAATCTGATAGTTTAAAGGAAGACAATGGGTGTACACACCTACAACATTGTGATCGATTCTGAATCACGTCACCCACAGTCTCCAACCATTGGTTACGATTGTCACGTGGACTCTAACCAAGAATTATACATCTACCAACATGGCTCAAACTAGAAGTTAATGACTTCAAGCATTGATCTCACGTTTTGGTTTGGTCGCTCCTAACTTTCATTCAACCATCTCCAACACCGGTTAGCATTGCACGTCGTGGTAATCGGTGTTCGGTCGTACGTAACACGTGGCCCAACCATCTCAGTCGATGAATATTTACAATCTCATCATCTGATTTACATCATTTCCTAATACCCTACGTCTAACCTCACTATTACTTACCCGGTGATCCCAGCAGATGCGAGCAATATATCTAAGGCACCTGTGGTCCAACATTAGTAGCTTACGAGTACCTTCTGCTCTTAATGGTCACGTTTCGCAGCCGTAAAGTAAAACAGAACGGACTGACGCGCAGTTTACTCGTCCTTTTATCGATAGACGGATATCTCTCCTTCACCACAAGTGACGTAAATTGGCAAAAGCCAAATGAGCTTTTCGAATCCGTGTTGAGATTTCGTCAGACACCAACCCATTAGGGCTGATCAGACTTCCAATATGAGTGGAGTTGTCGAGGTGTTCGACTACTTCACTCCCTATCCTTATTTCGGGTGTTGACACAGACCAGTCCTGAAGCAACAACTTGCATTTAGGGGGGAAGAAACTCATCTCAAACATCCTGGCGTTGTTTCTCAGTGCATTTTATCAGCATCTTCACCAAACAGAACTATATCATCTGCGTATTCTAAGTCCATAAGTGGACCTTCTGGTAGGAGATCATAATATCCAGATGAATTTTTAACCGGAAAAAAATAAAATGATTAAAAATATGTGTAACACACACTATGTATATGCTAAATATTTTTAAACATCAGTAACGTAGTCATTGTTAGTTTCGAATCAGTCAGAAAAGGTGAAGTATAACTTTCTGTTATGGCTTGTGCACTTGTTGGGAAGGCTTCTTAGAACTACGGCGGCGCCTCCAGATGCTCTAAAGGAGCCGAAGAGTTTCCATCCAATCAGAACATGATGGAGCTTTCTATAATATCAACGTGCCATGCTACTATTGAAAAGTAGCATAACATTCCCCTTTGTGGATTGTCTGGATTATAATGTTGATATAACAAACGCTAATATCTATAAATACCCATGATTTTCTGTGCATTTTCATTCTTACCCAGCAAGCACATTTTCAATCGTCTTCTGTCTTTTTATTTGCGACTGTGGGGGTCCTATATGTTTGAGTGCCGTAGTTGTATACTGTATTCTGCTTTAATCAATTAGCGAACGTAACAACACTGATCGATATTACATACTAAAGTCGTCAACCATAATCTTGATCATAATCTTGTTTTTCTATCCCGCATCTGTTGTTTATAATGTAGCCCAATTTTCTAGACTCAATTACATATCTGGCTTGGACAATCGACCTTGAGCCAATGCAAGCTGAATTTCTATTGGTCCACTATCCACAAGCTTTTTTATATCGTACCTTGAGATTAAATGGTAGTCAACAGTCAATTTCTATTATATTCAATTTAAACACGAGTTAAAACATACCATTATATAAACTAAGCACTTAACTACAACTTAACAAAATTAAAAAACAGTCACATTAACGTCATGACTACACTATAGTTGAAGTAATAGTTGCGTAACAAATTCAGAATCACTTAAGTAACGTACAACATACATCTACAGTTTATGCATCAAGGAAAAGCTGATAAGCAGAAAACAAAAATACAATAACTTAATACTTAAACAACAAATATATAAACATTCCACTGATTGAAATCATGAGTCAATTGAAGTTAGACCACCACGGAAAACCTGGAAGCCTTGGACGACCGTTTCGTTCTAGTATGGGACCCCTCAGCATTGCGCATCCACGATCCCGCACCAGTGAGACTTCTTAAATCTCCACAAAACCCTTTCTGATATAAACATTCAATGGTTGAGATCATGAGGCAATTGAAGTTAAACCATCATGAAAAACCTGGAAGCATTGAACGGCCGTTTCGTCTTATAATATCCACAAAACCTTTATGATATAAATATATATAAACATTGATTACAGGTAGAGCGGTTTTGAAAGTTCAACTTTTCCAATACTTGTCCTGTTGTACGTACGTACGAAGTTCTACGTTGTTGCTGATTGATTGACTGACTGACTGAATGCTTGTCCTATTATGGCACTTTGTTTAAAGTTCCGTATGTTTAAAAATAACAGTTAATAAAATAAAACTAAAGCCAGCATAACATTAAATGGAAAAGATTCACATACTATGCATGATTTTTCTCTCAAACAGTAAATACTTCATAAATTTTAACAAAATTCTTTGACCTAATTGTAAACAAATGAGTATTATAGTTGATATTACAGATAATTTTTAGCTGAACAACTATTAGAAGTCAGGAAGCATCGGACAATATTGTGACAGGTGGTTTCCGAAATCCTCCAACTAACTACTTGAGCAAGAACACAAGAGTACGAGAGGAAGTATACTGGTCTACTGAATAAAATGCACAAATACTCATTCATATATATATATATACCACTCTAACCCTTGGGACATGGATCCGTTTCTCAACCACTGAAATACTTTCGTCCTTTAGGTCACTTCTGTTTGCCGTCGATTGTCCTTCTCGTTAGGCTACTGCTAATTGGATTGTCATATCGGACAGCAGCTTCAACCTAGTGTGGGACTATTCTGAAGTACCGGTTCACAGCCCCAACGTTGATCGAACTTATTTTAGGAAGGAACAGTTGTCCAGTGCTTCAGCGTTCTCATTAGTCGTCTAGCTAAAATCAGTTCGTGATATTATTCATAAAACTTAACAACCCCGCCAAGCTAATTTTCACACATTTAATAAAATTGTCATATTGGTAATTACCCCGGAATAACCAATAATTTCATTAGCACTAACAATGAAAATGCAACAGGACAATTCATTATATTGTGGTAGACGCTTGTCATAAGATTGCTTGTAAGTGGTGTGTAGAAGGATCAAAGAAGGATCGAAGTTGCAACTGTAGTCAGATGGATCGAATAGTTTCGGTGCATCAAAAACACAGCATTGGAGAACAGACAAGAAAAAAATTCGAATAGTACAACACACTGAACGATGGAAATAGATGATTCAGAGCTATATATATGTGTTATAAAAGAACTTTGTCACTTCTCATTATCATAGTTGATGATCTTCCTATGCGCATATAGTTGTAGTTTATATCAGTAAATTCACAGTCAACTAATAATGTTATTAACAAAATTTCAAGATATCCTATCAACGGTTCGACACCGGTATAAACATTTTTTTATTCAAACAGTGTAATTCGACAACCTATACTGTAAGGTTAACTTATGTTACTACTACTACTACTACTACTACTACTACTACTACTACTACTACTACTACTACTACTACTACTACTACTACTACTACTACTACTACTACTACTACTACTACTACTACTACTACTACTACTACTACTACTACTACTACTACTACTACTACTACTACTACTACTACTACTACTACTACTACTACTACTACTACTACTACTACTACTACTACTACTACTACTACTACTACTACTACTACTACTACTACTACTACTACTACTACTACTACTACTACTACTACTACTACTACTACTACTACTACTACTACTACTACTACTACTACTACTACTACTACTACTACTACTACTACTACTACTACTACTACTACTACTACTACTACTACTACTACTACTACTACTACTACTACTACTACTACTACTACTACTACTACTACTACTACTACTACTACTACTACTACTACTACTACTACTACTACTACTACTACTACTACTACTACTACTACTACTACTACTACTACTACTACTACTACTACTACTACTACTACTACTACTACTACTACTACTACTACTACTACTACTACTACTACTACTACTACTACTACTACTACTACTACTACTACTACTACTACTACTACTACTACTACTACTACTACTACTACTACTACTACTACTACTACTACTACTACTACTACTACTACTACTACTACTACTACTACTACTACTACTACTACTACTACTACTACTACTACTACTACTACTACTACTACTACTACTACTACTACTACTACTACTACTACTACTACTACTACTACTACTACTACTACTACTACTACTACTACTACTACTACTACTACTACTACTACTACTACTACTACTACTACTACTACTACTACTACTACTACTACTACTACTACTACTACTACTACTACTACTACTACTACTACTACTACTACTACTACTACTACTACTACTACTACTACTACTACTACTACTACTACTACTACTACTACTACTACTACTACTACTACTACTACTACTACTACTACTACTACTACTACTACTACTACTACTACTACTACTACTACTACTACTACTACTACTACTACTACTACTACTACTACTACTACTACTACTACTACTACTACTACTACTACTACTACTACTACTACTACTACTACTACTACTACTACTACTACTACTACTACTACTACTACTACTACTACTACTACTACTACTACTACTACTACTACTACTACTACTACTACTACTACTACTACTACTACTACTACTACTACTACTACTACTACTACTACTACTACTACTACTACTACCTATAATAATAAGAACACAATACCAATGTCTGTTCTTAATAAACACATCAGTATTCTTTATTCGTACGTACTGGATAAGCAACACAGCTAATGTGAAAGTTATGGCTTGCAATGAAATCTTCATTTAAAATTCCATTTCGCATGCAATAATCATCCACTATATATGCTCATATCTGCTGGGATCACCGGGTAAGTAAAAGTGAGGTTAGACGTAGGGTATTAGGGAGTGATATTAAATCAGTCGATAAAGCTGTAGATATGCATCGACTGAGATGGTTGAGCCACATGTTACGTATGTCCGAACACCGATTACCACGACGTGCAATGCTGACTAGTGTTAGGGATGGTTAAAAGAAAGTTAAGAGCGACCAAACCAAAACGTGAGATCAATGCTTGAAGTCATTAACTTCTAGTTTGAGCCATGTTGGTAGATGTATAATTCTTGGTTAGAGTCCACGTGACAATCGTAACCAATGGTTGGAGACTGTGGGTGACGTGATTCAGAATCGATCACAATGTTGTAGGTGTGTACACCCATTGTCTTCCTTTAAACTATCAGATTGAAATTGCTTTATATGTTTCTTTCTACGAACCAATTCTTTCCCCCTGTATCATATTCTTATATGGAATCGTTCTTTTATATATTACCACCATTGAGTTAACTGCTTCAATGAGTCCGGTGTTCGTCCTGCTGTGCTCATGAGGTGTGGTCACTTGGACCGATGCATGTATGCACCTGGTCCTACGTTGTAGCTGACTGACTGAATACTAAATATCACAGAGAATTGAAGACGTCATTGAGGATAGCTTATTGATAGTAGTCATCTTTTAGACTCGATTTCGTATTTTGAATGGATTATATGATTATTTTCTTGTGTAATAAATTCTGAAGATTAGGAATATTGTGGCTAGAAGTCAACGTTTAAGAGTGTTAAGCTTTACAGTTTATGTTTGAGAACTTTAATGTTAGTAGCATTCAGGTCAGAAGTTACGGATTAGGATTGTTGGGTACGGTAAATTTCAGTCTACTTTATCTATATTATAACTTAATAAGCTTATTGAACGTGTTAAAATTATTTGTAATTTCACCATCTTTTTGTAATACATGGTTACCTTTTAAATCACTTAAGTCCTTTTAGTATGACATACATTTCAATACAATTTTATTTCAGTAGTTGAAATCATGAGTCAACTAAAGTTAGACCACCATGAAAAACCTGGAAGCACTGGACGACCGTTTCGTTCTAGTATGGGACTCCTCAGCAGTGCGCATCCACGATCTTGCCTCGCGAGATTCGAACCCAGGACCTATCAGTTTCGTGAGCGAGCGCTTAACTACTAGACCACTGACCCGGCATCCAACGGTGTTAATGTCTAACTTCAAATAATCCACGAAATTGAGCCACCGTATACCATTGTCTTCAGTGAGCTGATATCTCACCACCGACCTAGTTAAACTCCACTGGTCACCTTTCACAATTTTATCTGTTATCATGTTCATTGAGAGTTCATCAATCTCAGAAGTTAATCTTTATTTCAATCTATACAATCATTAATGAATGAAAATCCATAGCAACAAATACATAACGTAAATTCAACTTAAAAGTGGTCAATTAAGATTGAACTTATATACTTGCGAAATCTTTAATAATTGTACATACATTACATGAATGAATTAAGTCAGTAAACTCATTCTACACAACCGATTAGTCATTTTGTAGTGACGAATATCATATTTGTCTAATCATACAGTACTGATTCAATTCTATCGATCAGGTTATAATTTGGTTATTAATCTAAGTGATTTGAGATGGCATGTACTATATTTTGATGCTAAGTGGTTGGAGGTAGTTGGTAGATAACCTCAGTCGGCTTAGGTTTTGTGCTAGTTGAAACTCGTTACCAAGGTGTTTGGAATCTTCAGGGAAACGATAGATTCAATTCGGTATAATGTATTGTTCGCTGCTTAGTGATCAATCAATTATAAGTATATATCGGTCTTACAGGCGGTCAGTCACTGCTCAACTACCTTGATGCTAGTGTCTCAAATTATGAAGCTGTGAAAAAAGGGGACGAATCTGCTAGGGAGTATTCATTCCTATATATATTAACTTAATGCAAATTCCATTTAGCTTGATACTTATATTACCTGTAACATGTGATTGAATTATGTTCAGTATGGGTTTTTACTGTAGCTCTATGTATTTCTACTCTATTCGTTATTTTAACGTTTATATTTGGAAATGGGAACCACTGTTATTCTCAAGAAGGGAGATGAGAACATAAAGACTGAGTCAAATAAATGTTTATTGGCTTTCCATAGTCAGTGAGTCAGCTACAACGTAGGACCAGGCACATAAATGCATCGGTTCAAGTTGCTATACCTCATTAGCATAAATAGATGAACACCGAATTCATAGAAGTAGTCACTTCAATGGTAGTAAAGTATAAAAGAAAGATTGCATATAAGGATATGATACAGGGAAAAAGAATTAGAAAGTAATCTATAAAGTAATTTTAATCCCACCGTTTAATGGAAGACAGAGAGTGTATACACCGACGCCATTGTGATCGATTCTGAGCCATGTCACACACAGTCTCCAACCATTAGTTACGATAATCACGCGGACCCCAACCAAGTAGTCTGCATCTCCCAACATGGCTCAGACTAAAAGTTAGTGACTTCAAGAACTGATGCCACATTTTGGTCACCATCGTTATACTAAGTTCTCAGAACAAGTCATCATAAATCACATTCATTTTTATACTGATTCTGTAAACAATTAACTAATTGATTAATACTATTATTTCAATGAAAAATTACACGGGATAATATAAAACACAAATTTTACACCGAACAATATAAAGAATATAACTGTCACATTGGATGAAATTCCATTCCAGTCATACTGAATGAACTTTACATTGAAGATTACAAAAAAGATATTTACCTGGGATAATGTTACAATGAGAAATTTAAAACAAACATCATACTAACTCAAATGTTACATCAAGAATGTCCAAATGTCATATTGGGAATAATACTGATACCTCTTATCCCAACTAATCAATTCTCCTATAGGTAATATTGTGGTGTCTATTGACATAAGTAGTATTGTGGTGTGTGCTATTGAAGTTGATAGATAAAAGTAGTATGTATTGTTAAATTGAAAGTGAAATGCCTGGAGGTAGAAGGTTAAGAAGAAGATCAAAATAAAGAGAACGAGAACAAAAAATGATTGGTGTTGAATCGAAATAATACATTCGATTGTCCCTACTTGTATTCTTCTTCACTACAGTATGTAATACTAATCGAAAGGGGAAAACCTGGCAATAGAAGGGTTAGAAGATCGAGTTGAAGTGAATAAAAACGGTAATAGAAAGAAATTGTGAATTGGAAGAATCATACAGAATGTGACACTGACACAGAAGTCCTACTCACTACCTTCTTTCATCGGTAGTGTTGTTAACAAAATTGAGAGGATGAAAAACAAATGTCCGGCGCTTTGACTGGGTTGGTGGTTACGGAGGACCTACCCAGGGGAATTGGAACACCACAATTTCAAACCAATGGCGAACATGGATTCCAGGATCTTGAAGGAACAAATAGCGTATGAACCAATTGTTGGTCATCGGATACCATGGAACTGGATATCCTAAAGTTGTTCCACTGTCTTATGGATTAGACCTCTAGGTCAAAGGCCCGAAATGTGGCCTTCTAAGGGAACCACCTGCTTTGGTTTGGGCGTCTGGGTAGCATCTGAGCCCCCACATAAATCGAATGAAGTGTGGCGCATACATATTTGGTGCCTCCTTGTACAACTGTTTATGTATTTAAATAAATAATAAAACGACGGAGCTAGTAGGAAAAAGTTGGATAATCCTATAGTCCATAAGGAGAATATAGTCACACAAGGGAAAAGCGAAGATCTTTACATACAGTTTTTTGAGGAATTCCTGCACAGGAAATTGACTTTGTGATCGCTACCGATTTCTGTTCTGAGCAGTAACTGATAGTCATTGCAATTTTATGAGAAAAATTAACATTGACTAACAAATGTTTATTAGAAATAATTATACTTCATTTGTAGTCCCTCACTTTCCAAATAGCCTGAACGAGAGTTTTTCTCAATTATCCCCAAATGTTGGCAATTTTAGGGTCATATTTAACTTTAGGCAAGAGAGAGCAGCAACAACATGCAACGTAAGTTAACTCCCATTAGCTTTCTGAGTGATTGGTCTGGAACGTTGGTCGTCCCGATGTATATGTAAGCTTTTGATCCTCTCGTAATAACCACAAGGAAACCAGTCTAACTGAACTGGTCATTAAAGTATTAGCCTGAATAAACTTTAGAGGCCTCCCCAAGGCTTGTAAACAGCAAATCAAAGGAATCTAGAGTGGATGCGAATTTGTGCGTTAATATATCAGTCGAATATGTACGTTGAGCACGATTCTGAAAGTCAGGGATAATTCCTGACGGCAGGAAATAGACATCCCTTGACTCAAATACAGATCTTATATCTACATACTGATAGGTTTGTAGTAGTGTCACCGGAAGGTGTTCGTCTAACCTGCTCACCATCTTCACGTTCAATTTTGTCACAGATTAAATTCAGTAATCTGAACCCTAAAAATAACAGTGGGATCAGATTTGTGATCGGTTTCTCTCACTCTGATTGTACAATATTGCTTCTGGAACAGTCTGCATCAAGATCTAGATAAACCATAAGCAGTGAAGTAGTAAACTACATCACTCATCTTAGAAGTCTCATCAATTTCGGTAAGTTGGTATTCCAAATCGCTGCATGAACTCAGTACGTTCGGTCAACTTATCACTTTTAGAGCAAGCGAGATGTTCATTTCTAAGTGAACGTCCATGGCGACAGCCCATCGCTTTGAAACATGGTCTATGAAAACAGAAGATATACAAAGCTTGCATGTTTTTGGATCATTTCTAATGCATCGTGGAGAAACCAAACGAGGAAGGTTAAACACGAAATGCTAAGAAAATATACCAAACCAGTTGATGAGGGTGTGAATTGTAATTGACTGTGGTAGCTAAGACATCACAAAAGCCCACCCTCCACCCA